TTCAGCCAATTTAGTGTTGCGTTGAAAGTGCTGCGAATAGAAAGAGAAATTGCAAAATTTAGTTAGATGTCAAAAGTCAACTATGTTATGCAACCGAATTAAATGAATCCGTGCTATAACAAGGTCAGACGCGGCAGGAAGAAAATAAAAAACGAATCAAATGAATCTGCCGTGTCCAATTTGACCAACTAACCCACTAAAAACCTAACTAGCCAGCTGTATCTCACTGCTTTGCGCTTCAACCCCTCTACAGCCGCTGTATTACCTCCATTAACTCACTGAACTCCATTTGCAGTCGTTGCCGCACTACCACACGTTTGCGTCGCAGCCGTTGCATCAACAATTCCGATGTGCATTTACCCAACGGCCGGCTGCTGCCAGCCACTTGAAGACTGTTGCTTTTTTTGGCTTTGTCCATTTGTCGATTTGAATTGTCTGCGCCGATTTTAATGCTATTTGAATTGGCGTAAAACACGACGCTATTGGCGTACGTCTTCTCACTGCTATTATCGCTGCTGCCTGTTACATAGCTCTCCATGGCGGAAACTTGAGGAGACAGCAAGTTGTATTCAAATCAAAAAAATAAAATAATATTTTTTTTTGCTTTTGCACTACAGTTTTAAACCGCTTCGACTGGAAACTGTTATAGAAAGAAATTTCGCTAATATTTCACTTCTTTAGTTTTTTGTTTTTAGGAATATACCCGCCACAAATTTATAACCGCCGCCGGAATCTTTTCGCGCAATACTAATTTCAAGTCGAACCCATATGCTTGCTTACTCATTTACTAAAGCGGTGTAGATAAAGCTTTGGCTTGCAACAGCGGCTAATTCACGCTCTGTCGATAATACAACTACTACATTATAAAATGTATGCATGCCCTGTTGGAAATGAAACTGCATTGCAATGTCACGCTAAATATTGTATATATATTATTCTAAAAATTTCTGAAATTATAATTTTTAGTTGGCTCATGCCTATTACAAATGAGGGGCTGAATCCATTTAGCCATGTCTGTCTGTCCGTCTGTCTGTATATACGCGTACTAGCTCCTCATTTTGCAAGAAACTATTCAATTGTTGGCATTGCTAATATCAGACCACTATTTGATATACATACATATATAGCTGCCATACAAATGACCGATCCAAATCAAGTTATTGTATGGAAAACTTTTTTATTCAACTTGATGTCTTCACCAAATTCGGCATGCATTGTTATCGGAAACAGCTCTACAAGTTCCGAATAGTTCAAATCCGATCACTATAGTATAAAGCTGTCATAAACATGCCCCGATCAAACGCAAGTACTTATATGGATTTTTTTTTTATTTTTGAAGTTTTCTTCGCTTCTTGTGCTAATTAGATATAATAAATAAGTCACATATAAGCGTAAATAATATTTGATACATAAACCATTTCAAATATTGTATTTCTGCAGGGTGTTTACTAATATGAATATGTAAACGAGCATATATGTACATACTATATATGTGAGTAAACAAACGATGACTATAGGAGTCAATACGAGCCCATACAATGGAAGCGAGGAGTCATACTTGGGGTTTTTCATAAATTACACACACAAAGATTGTGCGTATAGTGTAAAAAGTAAATATATATACAAAAGAGCAGAAAATTGCTTGAACTATAACTGAAGCCTCACCTTTATCCACTGTTTCAACAGCTCTTCAAAAAAAAGATTTATCGGTGCGAACATTTTATCAACATAAGAATACGGGCGTATATAAAATGAAAGGTATGGTAGAGTTAGAAATTAATTTGAGGCGCTGACATTTCAGTGAATTTATAACAAAATATATATTGGAGAATGTGACAAGAGAACATACTCAACTCATATTCAAATTAAATTACTTGTAATTTCAAAATACGAGTCCAGTGAAACTGAATTATTCTCTGTGTCGTCTCATTCTTTTACGGCCATGTTTATGGTTTTGTTGAAAGCGCTCCTGTCTACATAGTCGCTAAGAGACTATAAGTATATTTACTTGTACTTCAGCTGATATACTTTTATTTTCTCTTTTTCGAATTTTTATTTGGTTTAAATTCAACGTGAACCGATCGTAGCATAAAGACAATATTTGTAAGCGCTTTAAGACTTAATTTTACAATCTTCGATACAATGTTTGTCACTTCCAACTGCTTACTATATGTTCATGTTTGTATTGTATATATTTGTGCGCGTGGGTTGACCCTAAACTTTGAGTTTCACTTGTAAATATTTATGTTTATGGTTTGTTAATATTTATTCATGCGAATTGGCAGTTGTGGATTTGTTTGAACATTTAATTATGTATGCATGTACGCTGCCATGGGAAATTATTGCACAATATCATCACTTTATCTGCATTGCCGTTATATATGAATGTGAGGAAGCATCGCACCCAGTGTTTATGATTGTAAATCTTATCAGCGCACTAAAATATATTGCTGTATGCGATTTATATACAAAAGTTATAGATCTTTTCAGTACCTACAATATTGCCCTAAAGCGTTTCTATAAGATTCGTAGTTTTGTCGGAAATCGAGATAAACCATTTTTAGCCCTTAAACATTCAACCGCGCCCCCCTCCTTCCTATTCCCGACTACAGATCGCGCGTAAATTATTTTTCCTTTAATTTTATCTTTCGTTCCCGATGGGTTTCAACCTCCCATGATTTTTTTTATTTTTTTTATAATTTTCAAAGACCTCTGCACTAGTCTATAAGTGTTCCCACGTTGACACAATAAACTATTCTCGAAAATGGTAATCTCTACACAACCAATGTTGATTCTAAGCGTGTTTCTCTCGAGTATCTGTCTTATTTATGGCATGTCAATAGCGGCACCTATAAAAGCTGGAATATATTTCCCTCCGTTATGAGCATACTATATGTGTGTCTGTATATAATATTATTGGTTGCGATATTTACTTTCGTTTTTCAGTACCCGCAGGTATTCATTACATTAGCGCTTTCAATTAGTGAGTAAAATGATAAAAGCATGAAATAAATTTGTAATTATTCACATGAATACCTGTAATTGCTATTATGGCGGTTGACATTCATATAAGATCGCATTACTGGTATAAATTTATTATGTACAGCGCTTAATTAATAATACTACGCAGAAGCTGCTCTTTGTGGGGGCGGTTATCCTGAATACACGCAATTATGAACTAAACCATGCACCATGAACCTCCTTACAGAGAAATGCTAAAAAGGCGAAAAATTTAATGGATATACTATGTATATGCTAATAAGAAAGTTATACTTAGGAGTTTCTTCGAGCGAAAAATAATAATATAAATACACCGAGTTCTGCACAGTTACTATAAAATATTCTGTTTTGCTATAATATGTTTGGGAATTAGTGAGATCAGCATCAACGAACTATTGAATATTAACCATTTGGTAAAAAAGAAATGTCGTTTATGCCTATATTTTGAACTTTTCAAGAAGAGGTTTATCCAGAGGGTTATCCAGTTGAAGATTAATATTGATCTGGAGTGCCTGACCTCACCATCGATGGCATCACGTTACTATATTGTCAGACTCGCCTGCCCGTCTGATCATAGCGGGATCGCTGGAAACTGCAAAGCCGCTGAGTTTGAAAGATAGGGCACCTGTATCTCGATTACATCGGATTGGAAACGTGTTGGGGTTCTGTTGTCCTCTTGCATTGCATTGCAAGTTTAGCAGGCACTGATCAACAACTAGCTACTATACGACTACGAGATCCTACTCAGAGCTGCTCGCTCTCAACAAGGATCATATTGTCGCAACGGTCTCTGCGCAATAGATGTGCACGGCAATGCTGTAAATTTTGTCGGACGCTAACTGCCAAAGTTGAATTGAGGAAGATGCGATTGAAATATCTCGGTAATCATATCTTCAACGAACCTTTCGAAATAGGTAGGTGGAATTGATAACAGCCGCTTAAAAAAAAATGTGACAAAGCACTTGTTGGTCTTTGGGAGTCTTTTCGATGAATACCCAGGAGTATTTAGGTAGCACAATGGACCTGCGGTCTCAGCTGCACAAGAGGGATCCATTTTTTGGATCGACCTTTTAACCAAACTAATTTGTCCGAAAAGTATTAGTTTAAGACCCGATATCTGTTTTTCTGCTTAATATTGTTCTCCACATGACAGCCAAACCTTTGAAAAAATTAAAAAGAGATTTTCCACAGAATATAAAATATCAAGAAAAAATCTCGTGCAACCAATTTTCTGACGAGCTGTGTACACATTTGTAGCGCGAATATAACACAAACAAGAATAGTGCATTTGTTTGTGTGTATTTATCATTATTATTAAATTCAAAATAATACTTAGGCTTCTAGTATACATTTTTATCAGGGTTAGAGGCGTAAATGCATCTTACAGCGCATATAAAAATATGGGCCTGACTTTTAACGTTTGATGAGTGAATGAGTATATGGTAATACATATACAAAATGCAAAATGCAAAATGAAATCTTCGAAATCCAAATGCCGTCGAAAAAACTTATAAGCAATCTTTGTATTGAAATAATTAAAACATACTTAATATCACTATTAAGTTTGAGATGCTAAAAGTCAGACGTGGAAACCGAACTGGCTACCTGCTCACTCACAAAAGCACACCTAGTTTATGTAAATAACAGCAGTATTTTATTAGCAAGATAAATACACTGTATAAATGTGCGTTAGATAGTGTTTATTGAAGAGCTTTTGATTGAAGCTTTTATACTAACACGGAAATTGGGTGCATTTATAATACAGGGTGGAACAGTGAAGGCAATGAAAATATTAAAAGATTTTTTTAGCCAATTTAGTGGTGCTATCAATATTTTTAATACATAATTGGTTAGATTGAAGACAATTTTCCTAATATGACCACAAATAAAATGCAATGAATGGCTTTTGAACTCCTTTTTGTTTAATAAATATATCATTTTATATAAAATCATTTAAAAGTTTTCACTAAAAAATTAAGTACAACTGTCTTTTCACACACTGTATTTGCTAGCGTGAAAGCTTCCAACTATTAATGGTTTTCTATTTGAATTTGCATAGCTAAAATTATATTTGCTGCTTAGTTCACATGTTCTCTTCGCTTAGGCGGTAGCAAAAACATTCGGTTAATGTAATACAAATACTTCTGCGCATAATTCTGTGATATAGAAAGTATTTTTAATTTGTTTGTTTGTGCCGAAATTTTTTAAAAGTTTTTTTTTAGATTTCCTACAAGTATTATTAAACTAACAGTAATGATATCGAAGTTTACTCTTTTAACTGCCGGCAGTGGCCCGCAGGCGACAAAATGCGTAATGGATCAGCTGTTGGTGCGTCAGCTGTCGAACAGTTTGCCGCGCGCTCAGCATGTAAGTGATTATAATCATTTATGTTATTTATTTTTTGAAAAGTTCTCTACGCTTCATTTTTCTATATCATCATATTTCAAATGATAAGAGTCAATTTATTTTTAATTTACCAATTGCTATCACAACCCTACATATGTATGTACATATAATATATACAATCCAGTCAGTTAAAATAGGTATAAAACAAGAAAAAGCATTAAGTTCAGTTGCACCAAAGATATAATACCCTTCACAAATAAAAAAGTTTCCATACAAGACCTTGATTTTGATCGGTCAGTTTGTATAACAGCTATATGCTATAGTATTCCGGCATCGGCGGTTCCTACAGATATGCAGTTTCTTGGTGAGAAAAAGACGTTTGTAAAATTTCAGATCGATATCTCAAGAACTGGGCAACTAATTGGCATATATACAGACAGATCGACTCAGCTCGTTATGCTGATCGATTATAGATATATTTTATAGGGTCTCCGACATGCAGTTCTGGATTTTATGACATTCATGTCATACTTAATGTACTCTGTTCAGGGTATAAAAATATATTTGGTCACATAATGATGACTTGCAAACAATTTAAGTACATAAAAATATAGATTGAGTCTGATAATGCTTAAATGATAATAACTATTTTGCGGTCACAAAAGATAAAGAGTTTGCAACCACAAAAATTTTAAATATTTTCTTCAAAAAAGCTAAAATTATAGCAAAGTATTATTAATATATTTGTTTGCTTTGATTTTTGAATTTATTGATATTTTTCTAGTGAAGAAATGTTGCATGTGTATTTAGCTCTCATCTCCTCACCTCTCATTTTCTCTAACAAAAATTATTTTATATTGCGTGTACACAGCTTCATTTGTTTACAAACAACTTGAAACTTAAAGCTTGAATACCCTGTAAGAAAATGATATCTCTACATCTTTACTAATATTATAAAGAGGAAAGATTTGATTAGGAGGCTACAGTGGCTCCGGTAAACATAGGCTATATTATATTTTCAAAACAGTGAGGGATCCTTCCTAAAACGTTAATAATGTAACCCAAGGTAAAAAAATTACCTAAAAAATACCTTACATAGCGTGCGCTGCGAATACTATTGATTATAGAACAAACTATTGTACTATGACTTTGCAGAACATATAATTATAAACACAAAATGTCGCTACAGCATATGCCAGTTATGTTACAGTTACAAGAAATAATAATAAAATGCCGTCTCTGTAAGAGTTCTTTATTTGTACCTTAGCAATAATCCTTATCAAAATTGATTACTTCAAATTCAAAACTGATTCTATACCTTTATAAAGCTTTTTGAATTATTCGAGTTGCACATTCCGTTCGAAAGATAATACGACTTTATAAATGTAAGGTTTTCACTATTCAATATCTGTTGTTATCATAGTCTAGAGAGGTTTTTACAAAAATCGTTAGATATACTTAAAGGGTATTTATTGCTGCCTGTTAACTATTGTACATATCTGTGCTTACTATTTAAGGTAATTCTTGAATACTTCGAAACAAAGGAGGCAACACGTGAGGACCCCGAATGGGTTAATGCGAAAGATTATAAACAGATTCCCTGCCCTAGTAGCTATCGCATGCTGAGAGATCAATTACCAGGAGGTAACAAATATGATTTATTACCGTCAATAAAATGCGTTAAAAATCTTTCTTGCACCTAGGGCCCCTACATAAAACTAACATGCACGTATTGGAAGGATTCTATCGTGAACGTTATGGCGATATATTCCGTCTAAATGGAATTTTGGGTAAACCCGACACTGTGTTCACCTTCAATCCAACAGATTTTGAAACAGTCTACCGCAATGAAACCATCTGGCCGGTAAGGATAGGTGTGGATAGCTTAGGACATTACCGGCTTAATAAACGACCAGATGTTTTTCAAGGCGTTGCTGGCTTAGTTACATCGTACGTTGGAGATGCAGCACTAAAAATGATATTTCGTGTATAAAAAATAATATTTATTTATTTATACTTTTTCCAGACAAGGTAGAGCTTGGGGCGAAATACGCAATAAAGTTAATCCCGTTATGATGAAGGTGCAGAATATCCGCCAGAACTTGCCAGCCGTTGATACTATTGCGCAAGAGTTTTTGGAAAGGTAAGTTGGAAAGTGCAGCTAACGATTTTTAGTTTAGTTCTGTGGTTTTGGTTTATAAAGTAATCGAAAAAGACGAAAAGGAAAAACGCGTTCCCACGACAGTCGGGTCTACGTAACCGGAACGGGTCTGGACTTTTATCCAGCCATGAAATGTCAGGTCGTCAGCATTCTTACTTCTTACTTCAAGAATGTTATCTGCCGCTACAACAACAACAGAGGAAAAAGGCGTCTCGGATTTCTTTATGTACTTATTTGAATTCTTAGATGGCTTAACACCGTTATTGTTCGCACCTTAATAAACATATCTCACATGAAAAGTTGATTGTGGAAGCAAATAGCTTTTGGAATAATCAGGTAGTTGTTTTTCTTACCCTCAGAAATTGTAGGAGTTCCTATTTAATCTAGATATAGTATATTTTGTCAAAATTATTTGAAAATCTTAATTTACTGTGAATATTTGTTTTAGAGTTCGTGCTAAAATAGCATACTTTTATGTCAAAACTTTTTATTTATTTACACTATTCCATAGATTAAGTTCAAAGTTGGATAACAACACCGGCAGATTGACCACCGATTTTACCGAAGAAATTAAAATGTGGTCTTTCGAATCTGTCGCAGTCGTAGCGCTCAACACGCGCTTGGGTCTTTTGGCGCGCGACAAACCAGATTCTAACGTATTGAAAATTGTCGACGGTATGAATGTATTTTTCGATAAGGCGTATACATATGACGTGTCACCGTCATTTTGGAAGTATTTTGAAACAGCCGGCTTTAAAGAGCTTATGAAAGCTTATGATAATATCACTGATGCTACTACATTTTATATTGAAAAAGCGATGGAGAAGTTCAAAAACGAACAAAATGACGAGGCGCAAAGTGTGCTGGAAAAACTCTATCGCATAAATAAGAATGTGGCCGTAGTGATGGCTATCGACATGCTGATGGCTGGATTGGATACGGTATGTAGTAACAATATACGAAATAATTACAAAATTATTAAAAGTTTTTAATGCTACAACGCCTACATTTTACCTATAGACCTCCGCCACAGTTATTTCAATACTACACTTTCTTGGTCAAAACCCTGAAAAGCAGGAGGAACTGCGCAAAGAGCTGTTTGAGCTGCTGCCTGATCCAAAAATGCCATTAACTGATGAGAATACCAAAAATATGCCTTATTTGCGCGCTTGTATAAAAGAATCGCTACGTCTAAAGCCTATTGCCAATGGTAATTTCCGTCTTGCCGGTCGTGATATTGTGCTTTCCGGTTATAAGGTGCCTAAAGGTGTCGGTGTTTATATGGCTAATATGTCACTTTCCAATAGCGAAGAGTACTTCGAAAGAAGTGCAGAATTCTTGCCAGAACGTTGGATTAAGGCAACCAAAGCCACCTGCCCAGTCGCACAGAAACACAACCCGTTTGTTTATTTGCCATTTGGCTTCGGTCCACGCACATGCATTGGCAAGCGTCTTGCCGAGTTGGAGATGGAAACGCTTTTAGTGAGATTACTGCGAAACTATCGTGTGAGTTGGGTGGGTGAAAAGCCGTTAGAATATGTAAATGATTTGATTTTGCGTCCGACTGGTGAAATGAAGTTCAAGTTTGAAAAGTTGTAAGCATAGTTTTGGTGAGACTATGAAAATACGTATATGTGATATGCAAAATAATATTACGAAAGATTGATGTGTTAACTGTTTGTAAATATAAATACAATAATAAAATTGTAAATAATATTATAATAATATTTTCTAACAAATAGGCGAACTTAGTTACGTTTGAGTGCGTCCAAATAACAGACTTAAAATCCATTTTTCTGGGTATGAACCAGAACAGGGTATATTAAATTTGCCACGAAGTTTGTAACACCCCGCAGGTAACGACAGGCAACCTTTGCAATATACATATGTATGGTATATAGGTATAAATTATCAGCGTGACGACTTGAGTCGATTTAACCATGTCCATATGTCTGTCTGCATATAGTCGCTTAGTTTTTGAGATTGATTTAAATTTTCCACACGTCCTTTACTCACCAAGGCAGCTGTTCATTTGTTGGACCTGCTGATATCGGAGCTGATCGATCAAAATCGGTCCTTTTGGCAAGTTATGCTGAAGAAAATTGATATGGATTATTGTCCAAGGCAACGGTATAATCTCCGTAAAAATTGTTTAGCTCGGACTACTATAGTATATAGTTGCCATATAAAGTGACCGATCAAAATCAAGAATGTCCGAAGAAATCTTATTAAAGGTAAACATTTTAATAAGAAAATTTATTTTCCTAAATTTTCAGTTCGATTATATATTCGAGAGAAGGAACTGTTTTGGAAAGTTTTACTTTATTATCTCAACTCAAAACAGACACTGATTCAGAGACTGAAAGCTAGTATACGACTAAATAAAATGATTTTTCAGTATCAGTAGAGAGACCACAGACATAATTTCATAATACCAGCTCAGCAGAAATTCACTTCTAAAAAATTTTATGCTCTCTTTTTGGTTATAAAAATGAAAATAGGTTATTGGAAGTATGCAAACATACCTCAAAGAGTTATTAATGAGGGTCAGGTTTCACTTCCTGTTATAACTAACTAATTTTTTATAATATTTACTTGGCGAAGTAGAACATATTGCTATATACAACAAATCTCAAAAGGCCTATAAATTTTAATGCGGCGGAAATTTGGTGGCAACCATATTCTCAAAACAATTCACACACTTGCCGCAGCCATAATTCATTTCAGGGGAATTACAATAATAATGAATAAAAGTGTAGGTTGGCAAACCTGAAAATCCAAATATTCAGAGCTAAAGTTAATTTTGTACAAATAACAAAAAAGATGATGAATTAATTCCATATTCACGAAAATTTAAAAAAAAAAAATCACCCGCACAAACCAACAACAACTACGACTCACCAAGTCACTTCCGCAGCAAACATAATATTTTCTGATCTAACGGTTTATGTTTTCTGACAGCTCTGTTACTTCCTCATTCAATTTCCACGCACTTTTCACGCTACTCAACAAATTTTATTCGCACACATGCAGCACATAAAACAAAAAACGTCCAGAAGCAGTGCAAAAGTGATGAATGACTTGCAGAGGTGTCACTCACGTTGTTTGAACTCTGAACTACGCTAGCGTGTTGCAGCAATGAGTTTCCACAACACTGAGTTCACTACTCGCATAATAAAATCGTTCAAATATCGCCTGTTTTGTTTTTTGCTTTGTTTTTATTACGTCCTCGCTGCGTGCGCTTAAAGACAAATTAAATATGATTTTAATTGTTGTTAACTCACCATTTCCTTATCCTCTTGACTGCGCGGCCAAAGTGTTAGATTGACGAGTATTTCACCCATTTGACGCTCTGGATGATTTATGTCATGCAATGGCAGGCAGAGATCCTCTGCTTTGCCCAATTCCAATGCCGTTAAATCGATTTGTGCGGAACCCATGAAATCATCTTGCAGTCCCCAGTCATAATCGAATACCTGTGAAAAATATGAATTGAGTAAGGTATGTAGATCGTTATGTATAATTTAAATTTTTAATCATATTGTTGGTTAATTTGCATAAATAAAGATAGCGAGCATGAGATATGTGCGGTTAAGATGACTTCTTTAATTAAAGTAATTAAATTAAAGACAAAATAGAAGTGCAAATATTTGTATTATTTAATTAAAACGAAGCTTTCCAAGTCATGAAAATTTCACACAACCAAAAAATTTAATATATTTTAGCACGGAATCCAAAAAAAATCTTAATAAAGCTGTTACCAAATACTGACAGAAATATGTGCCGAACATTTGTATTAAATTTTAGCTGAAGCATTAGCACCTTGTCGGCACATCCGTTTCTAATTGTGTTTATCTCTTAATTTTCATGAAAAAGCCTGTTTGGGCTATATACTTGTATTTACCAGCACTAAATATGTATATATACACACACATACTTATATGTATGGGTATATGCATACTATTGGCACTCTTGTTCGTAAGCTTACTATGCATAAGATATATATGCAATATGCAACGGTTCTTTATGAGTAACTGGTATCATTTGGAGACGAAAAGTGTTTGCGCAAAGTTTTAAATGTCTGCATCAATAAAATTTATACGAAATATTAAATATTGACACACAACGGTGGATATTAAGATGTTACCGTAGACGTTTAAATATTTAATTTAAGCAAATTTGGTATGTTCAAAAATGTTGTATGTACTTACTAAATCCTGGCTGGTTTCATCAGATGGATTTTTGATCTTAACTTAAGTATTACAAGTACCATACTGTCATTAATTACTGGTATTAAAAGTTGATAAACACTAATTGAGCAGTTTCACAGCTTCGCGGTTGAGAAGCGCAGAGGGACTATGCTGTTATCCCCAAATGATATAAATTAGGTAGTTTTTGCTTACATATTTTATAAATGGCAATAATATATTCTTCTATAAATATATATATAAAATATATATATGTATCAACATATACATATAAATATGTAAGAACGTGTATCGAAAGCGCGCAATTACATATGCACAAGCGATAAAGTCATGTGTGAACATGGCAGGCATGACTTTTAGTCACAAAATTTTTCACATCAAAAATTTATTTATGTACCATATACTATGCATATACATATGTATCCAGGTGCATATGCGTTCGTGGCACGTCATTGAATAAACATAAAAAGTTCTTACCTGTGGCTTTTAGTTCGACGAAGTTATATGCATGAGTAATTTATAAAAAATAGAATATAGCCGCAGGCCCTTTTACAGTAACACTTACTCATGTAAGTTACATATGTATACATTTTTTACAGTTACATGCTATTTTTCATAGCTTTCGAAAGCATTTACATTAAATCCAATGAGAATTTATAAAGAGATTAATTATTTTGGCATAAAAAAACAATATTGCGTTCACTTTTGCTACCAAACTAACACGTGATCTGGGTAGCTTGTTTAAGCAATATATTAATCCAAAAAATTTAAATTCAATTCAAGCAATTCATAGGCATTCATATTTGTTTTTGGGTATATTTTTATATGAGGCTACCGGAAAGAGTTAACTACAATAGTTAACAAAATTTTTGTCCCCACAACAATATTACCGATATTTATGCGCAAAAATCAACACATTGTACACATACATATAAAGTGTATCGGAATAGATGTGGGTCGTTTTGCATCCATTTCGGTATATTGTGCAATATTCTCACCAGATTTATTAAAAGGTGTCAGAAATTAAGCAAAGAAATGATCAACGAAAATAAATGAATTAATAATATAAGCCAATATCACTAAAGAGAGTTGCCACATTTCATGGGTACTAAGCAAAGTTTTGATAACCTTATTCATGTTTGTGTTAACTATATTCAAGTTAAGGCAGCTTATGGGTTTTATAATTTTGGTAAGTCAGATGTAGACATATTTTAGGTCTATTTTTCTAGGCTTTTTTAGGGTTTGAAAATAAGTAAGTGTTTCAATTGTTTTAAAAATTCTAAGGTGTATTTATAAATATTTTAAAAATACAGAGATTTTGAAAAAAAAATTAATATTTTTCAAGTTACACGCGAACTTCGACAGCGCTAAAAACTAAAGTACGTCAACTGCTGCAGCAATTTTGGCCTTCATTGTGAATAAAAAAAAATTTCTACTGAAAAATTTTATTCGTACAATAACCTACTAGTGAAAAAATATAAAAATGGCGTCGTTTAAGAAAAATATTAATTTCAGCCAAACTTGAAATATTCATTCTAAATTTTAATATGTTATTTTTAAGAGTCCTTGCTATCGATATGAAAAAAAAATTTTTTGGAAATTTTTACATCAGGAGAATTACCCAAAAAGAAAGATAGAATACTTGTAGCTCGTTAGATTAATAATATCACCGCTTTATAGCCTTAGTCAAATTTCAAACTGCTTTGTATATGAAGACGCATATGACTTATAAAAGAAATGGTGAAATATTAAAAAAAAATTTGTTTTTGAAGATTTTATTGTTTAATAAAAATATTTAATGATTTTGTTAGTTTTTTAATATTTATCAGCTTTCACGCAAAATAAAATATAAAAAAAAAATTAATAATATATTAAAAGGAGTATGACTTTTTATTTGCCAATTAAACATCCACTCAGGTAGCCCACAGAGGTAAAATATGACTTTACTCACCTTAACATTAATGGGCAGAAAGGGATCTTCGATGGGCACAATGAATACTTCATCCCACACTGGATTCAGGTCTCTATGAATTGTGCGTGATTTATGCAGCAGGCGACCGCCAACCTTAAACTTAACATAAGGATCACTTAGGCCTGCGTAAGTGCACAAACGATAAAGGTAAAAAGAAAGAAAGGAAGCATATAAATGAGTGAAATTAGATTTGGGTTGCAGCGCAGCGTTGAAATAAAGCGCTTACACAAGTAATTCTGTAAATAAATTGGATACTTTAAAAAATATTGTTGGCATCCCTTTAATGACACACAAGCCTACAAACAAACACACATATATATGTACATAAAGAGCGTGCTACTCACCGTTTTTATCCATGGCCATCAAATCGCTGCCGCTCTTCAGATGTACGCGCAGCTGAAAAAAGACGTACTGTCGTAAATGCGCTTCCTTTTTGCGGCGCAACTCTTCCGCCTGGCAAATAAGAACGTTAGTATTTTACATACGAAATTAGTAAGGAGGACACAATGGTGGCGAAAGTTACAAATTAAATTAGTTTAGCTAAAGTAGTGAAAA